ATTTCCATTGGCGAGAGAAACTTTGGGCCGAGCCATGAAAAAAATCTATGAAAGACCAAAAAACAGATTTGTGGATTTTAGTAGAATTTATTCTCATGAGGTAGAAATAAGAAAATCAGGGACAGGGTCAACGATCACTCACGTCATGGGCTGGCAAGAACTCAAGACAATTCTTACGAAACTCTTTCCTCTATGCTTCTTGGGGATTTCTTCTCTTCGATAAAAAACTCTTTGGAGAGAATTCCCCTTACTTGACTTCCAAGACTAGAAACAAAATCATACCTATATATCCATTTTCCAATTTTTCCTTAAAGATTCTGTGGGTTTTCCAATATACACATCGTCCAACCTCAGTAAGTAGTGAATGCTACAGTTAAATAGATAAGAGGTAAAAAAGAAAAGTACGTTATCTGTAAACTTGAGCTGCTAGAAGTTACTCAGAGTTTATGCATCCAAGTTTATAATAAACCTAGTGCATCGATTCGAATTATTCTTCATTTTTCTTCTCTTACTGATGAGAGGCTATTTCAAATTCACTTCAATTGTTCTGTTTGGTATATATGCCAAAGACCTAGAAGTTAACTCTAAATGCTCAAAGGTTATACTCACTTCAATTGTTCTGTTTTGAGCTCATGAACACTCTTTATCACAGATGTTGCTATGATTAAGGATACAAATTGCAATGGGACCCAAAGTTTTGAGTCAGATTGTTCATTGCCCTTCTTTAAAAGTCTTTGTTCTTCACCCCCCCCCATTCCGAACAGGTTGACATGGTAATAATTCCAGCCACAACTGGGCAAATGGGTGTTCTTCCCGGCCATGTAGCTACAATCGCAGAGTTGAAACCAGGAGTTCTATCAGTGCACGAAGGGAGCGACACCAAAAAGTACTTCGTGAGCAGTGGTTTTGCATTCATCCATGGCAACTCGTATGCTGACATAATCGCCGTGGAAGCTGTGCCTGTAGACCAAATCGACCCCGACCAAGTACAGAAGGGTCTTGCCGAATTCACCCAGAAGTTGAACTCTGCCTCAACAGACTTGGAGAAAGCCGAAGCCCAAATTGGAGTCGACGTGCACAGTGCCCTGAATGCTGCCCTTACAGGATAATTTCCTCAATTCGCAAATCGGCCACCTTTCTGTTTATCTATTTCCAATTGTATGTTCCTTCATAACACTGCCTCATTGTGACAGTTCGAGTTAGCCTTCCTCGGTCGAAATACCTACTGGGAACACATCATCTTGGGCTTACCCTTTCTGTGTTGAATTTCAAGTCATTCACAAATAAATATATTAGGATGGATTTTTGCTTGGCCTTATTGGTCATAATCTGGTGGCTTAGACCTCATAAACATTGAAGAATTCTCATTTGAATCTGTATGGATATGATTTAATTCATCTTGCATTTGTTAACAATTTCACAAATATAGCTAAGTATGGGCCAAATGAGCTTCTTCCTCTTGGGCTTTCCCGAGCCCATTCACTGTGAACTCGGAACTGGGCTTCACGTCCATTGGGCCACTCGGGCCCATGAATGCACAGACAAAATTGTTTTCAGTCACGTGATTATAAATGAAACCCGACCAGATGTTCACGTGATGCTGTCTTGTTGAGTTATTACATATTTACTCGCACAAATTGGGACCTGAATTATCTAGTTGCTTTAGAAGTACACTAGAAGTTACCAGTATTAACTGCCCAACCAAACCATTTATTTATTTATTTATTTTTAATTTACCGTTGCGTTGTAAAAGACCAACAAAATCAACACAATTTTCAATATGCATTAAATTTTGCAAACATTTAGATCTGTACCTGTTTCATATTGGAACTTTAAAAATTAATTTTGGATATACATTTATTTCATATTTTTTCCCTTGATTATTGGGCGACTCTTTGAGTTTAGGCATTAGGACATCAGACGTAATAAGTAATATGTAATAAACCATAAATTTTATATCCACGTACATCATACACTGAAGTTATTGCTCTGGTGTGTATATATATTATATATATAACAGTTCAAGCTCACCGTTAGTAGACATTGTTCGTTTTATCCTAGTATATATCGTTATTAGCCTCACAGTGTTAAAACAAGTCAATTAGGGAGAAGTTTTCACACTCTTGTAAAAAGATGCTCAATTTATCTCTCCAACCAACATCAGATCTCATTATATATATATAAGTGATGATGTTAAGGATACGTGTTATTCTCTGTGTTCTTTTGTGGCAAACGTGGATTGACCAACGCTAATAAAAATTTAACGTATTCTATCATTATTTAAATTCAATAAAAAAGTTAAAAATTGGATCCAAATTACAAAATTTTATATGCTTAAAAATAAAGAAACAAAACTAGTTGTAAAGACATTTAAATATAAATGTTCTTTACCTATCAAGCCCCACCTGTCCTTTGCATTTAATTTATTAAAAAACTTTATTGAGAATTGAAACGTAATTGCCCTTATCACCAAGCTTACACGTGGATATATATTTTTCATTATAATTTTTAAAAAATTGCATCATTGACTTAATATATTATTTTATTAATTTTAATTTTTAATTTCCAAATTCACGTGAAATAGAATCCTTTTGATCTCATCCCCAAGCTCTTCCACTCATTTTTTAAAGGGAAAAAAAAAAGAATATTAATAAATAATTATTTGTTTTTATTATATTAATTATTTATTGGTCTAGAGCAGTCTAACCGTGGCGCGATCTTAACCGTTCATCCTTATCTTCAACGAAACCAGAAATTTGCATGTCCAGCCGTTTCGTATCATCACCACGTAGCACGTGTAGTTTCTTCCGGTCGAGACTCTGATGGGTCCCACGTGTAACGGGCAGCTTAAGATGGAAAGTGGGTGCTGACAGTTGCTGCCCAAAGGGATGCGGGTAGAGTGTGTGGGCCCCGCAGGACAAGGACCTTGGGAGCATAGCCAGCTAGACCATGAGTCAGGCGGGGTCCACTGCATCGTTGTCTTTTTTTGTCGTCTTTCTCGCTCGCTTTTTGGGTCCCACCACCCAGTCAGCTCCAAAGCCTCTTTTCCGTTCCAGTCACCTTTTTTCTTTTATTTATTTATTTTTTTTCGTTTGCTCTTTTTACCATTTTGCCCTTCCAATAACAAATTATGTCGTTTCCAACCCTAGCTGTGGGGGTCCCACCATTCATTATTCATTTGAAGAGGAAACGAAACGGCTGGAAGAAGACCCACTTTTCCAATCGTACCCCTACTTTTTGAGTTAATTACGTCATGCCATTTGCTCACCGTTTCAAACCAAAAAGTTTAATCATTTGGACTAAAACGAGAAAAGTTTAATTATTTGCTACTAGAACCCCCAACTTTATATTTATTACATGTTTTCCCCAGCATTTTCTTAATATTATATTCACGTTCTTCATATTAAAATATCAAATTGATTTTAAAGTCGTAACAATTGCAAAAAATAATCATTTAAATTATTCACTGTTAATTAGAATAATAATTGATACTCAAATATACACCCAAATAATTACTATATATATAATAAGATAAACCCGAGCTTCAAACTCGGTACCTAGTGACCCCGGCAAACCATCTTATAATGTTTTGAAAAACTGCTCGGAATAATGAAAACCATCATTTTAGTATGTTTTGTTATTAGTCTCGTGTTTTCTAGTAAAAATTTCAGAGGTCACCGAATATAGAATTGCTTGAAATTACGCACGTTTAACTTTAAAGTTACCCATATGTGTTAGGGTCATACGAGGTCATTCTCCTTCAAATATAGTATCGGTTCGTTCGTGTACCACTTATTTACTCGGGTGTCACAAAAATATCAAAATCATTAACCGAGACAATTAGTTGAGACGTTTTATTAGGTATCGTTGAATATAACATCCTATTCTAGAGCTGAACTTATTAATGGATCGATTTCTCGTACCGGTTTCAATAAAAAAAATTAATATAGTAACTATTTTCTTTATTTGCACAACTAGTCCTTTTCAAACAATGTAAATACCCCATGAATAGGGAATATTATATTAAAATTTATTACATAAAGCCTCCCTTCTAGATGATTTTATGCTCACTCCCCCACTTGACGATAAATACAATAAATTTGAGAGCGAAATATAGTAATATGAAAAAGATAGAGGACCAAATTCTAAAACTAAACAAATAATATTAATTTCTTTATTATTATTATTATTATTATTATTATTATTATTGGCCCATTGGGTTGGGGAAAAGGATGCATGCATTTCCAGCCAATAGATTTTCACCACGGAACAGAGAAAACCACCCATCTCAAAACCAGGGTTTTCTAATGGGCAATTATCCACTGCTTTGCGCTCTATTGAAAGCAACGTAATTTCAACCAATCAAATAATTTCGTATTTTTTATTTTTTTTATAGTAAAAGAAGACATGGTAACCCAAATAATATTATTATTTGATAAAATTGGGTTCTCTAGTGTTGCTATATTTTTTTAGATTTAATTTAATTTTTACTGTTGTAATTTTTTTTCAGTGTAAACAAATGAAAATGTTAATTAGTAAAATATTTATTTATTTATTTATTCATTAAATTTAAATATATATTAGAAAAACACGTTATAAAATAGTTCAAATTTATTTTTTAAAGTTGCTCATTCAAAAATAATTTTAAATTAAATATATTTATATATAATTATATAATAATGTAAATCTAGGCGTTATAATTATTGCAAAGGTAAAAAAATTAATGCAAGACAACAACCAAAAAAAAAAAATCAGAAAATGATATTTAAAATTACAGACATAAAATAACCAATAATGAAAAAGCATATTAAATTATTTCAATAAATAATTGAAAATGATGGAAATTAAATAAATAAATAAAACATGACGAAATTAATTTTCCACCTACAAACTAAATTATAATTAAAAAGGAAAAAAGTATGCTTATCGTAGTCCGCGAAGCACCTGATTCCCTCACTTTCCAGGCAATCAATTATAAATTAACCCAAATGCCCCAGCGTGTTCCTTCCCCTTCGGCTTACCATTTCCTCTCTGTCTTCTTTCTCAGAGCTTTAGCCCTAAAACTCTAAGCTCCCGGATTTCTGCTCTCATTTCCGGCGAATTTTCATCAGCTTTCCGTTTCTTTTCCTTCTTTCACTATGAGAACTGCGCCGCAATTCTACGCCGGCTGCGCTGATTACCTTATCCCCGAGCCTCATTTCCTTGATTCATGTTCTCTTTGCCGGAAACCGCTCGGACGCAATTCCGATATCTTCATGTACAGGTCTGTTCAATTTCCATGATCTCAGAGAGTTTGTGGTTATCTTGAGTTTCAATTGAGAGTTTTCTGTTTAGTTGTTGATAATTTGAGGCTTGATAAGCGTCGAATTATGCTAGATCGAATTTGTGTGGTGTTTTTTAGGTTTAGGTTTGTTTGAGTGATGGAAAGTGATTTTGGAGTTGAATTATGTTTAGATAGGACTGATTTGTGGTCGTTTTGTTCTGATTTTGATGTTTTGATCTGAGAATTGAAAGTTTTGTTACTGTATTGCAGAGGAAACACTCCGTTTTGTAGCAAAGAGTGCCGGCAAGAACAGATTGATGTCGATGAGGCAAAGGAGAAAAACTGGAGACGTTCTTCTTCTTCTTCTTCTTCTTCTTCTGCTAGCACTCAAAACCACAGAAAGCAAGAAACTAGCAAGAAAACTGTTCGATCCGGCACCGTTGCGGTGGCCTGAGATCTTCTATCCGAATCAGAACAAATTTTCTTCTACAGAGAAACATCTTTCCCAATTTGGAAAACGAAAATTGTGAGGTTGAGTGGAGGCTGAGAATGAATTCTCATTGCCAGCTTCAGGACCCGATTTTCAGAGAACCAAAAGAAAAAAAAAAAATCTATAAATAACTTTTTGATCTCTGAATGTGTATTAAAAAAACCATGGGAAAGCAGTCCTGAGATTGGGTGGTTCTTTGCAGTTTCTCTCGAGGAAAAAAAAAAAAACACACACACACAATTTTGGTAGAATTTTTTTTTTCTTTCCCTTCAATTTTGATTATCGAAAATAATTTTTTTTTTCTAGAGAATTGATGTTTAAATCGATCTTCAAAAAATTAAAAGAAAAAAAAAACTTAAACAAAAATGGGAATTCAAGATTAATTTTGTGAAATCAGTATTAAAAAACGAAACTAATGAACAATAATTTAGGAATTCTAGGTTTCATTACATTTTTTATTATTTTATTTCTTCAAATAAAATTTCATTTAATTTTGAAAAAAAATAAAAATTCAAAGTATCGAATAAAACTGTGACATTTATTATTTAAAATCGAATCGAGAAATTAAAGGGGGAAAAAAAGCTTTCGTTTAATATTCTTTTGCAATTTTATTTCTTTAGACAAAAAGATAAGCTTTTGCATATTTCCATTATCTTTTTCAGCCATTGAAAGCAACAAAGTTAATAATGCATCTTTCTAAACAGCTTGGCAAACGGGAAAAACAAACACTTTATTTATTTTTGTCGTTGAAAAAAAATTGTTATATATTGTCTTACTCAAAGCGAATAAACTAGACGAGTAGTGAGATTGAATGATATACGTCATAAATTTTCGAAGCTAATTGATTCGACAAGTGAGTTGTTACACTCCTTAGCGGATTTTGACTTCCACGACCACTGTCTTCCTATCTTAATCGACCATCACCCTTTGTGGGATATAGGTTAGTGCACACAGATAAGCACCGTAACCTAGCTACCGATTCATCTTGCATCGCCAGTTTTACTTAAGGGAAATTATATTATTCTCATATTGAATTTCAATTAGTAGTAGTTAATAATTTTTTTGAATTAACTGAATGAATTTAGTTAGAGGGTAATTAAAAAAACACACAAATTAAAATTATTACTTTATGTCATATCAGTTTTAACGTAACTGTGATTTTTAATAAAATTTTAATTTTAAAAAATAAGAATGAAATAACAAATTTTTCATATAAATAATATATTATAACGAATCACACGAATAATAGTTGTAGGAGGATAAAAATTAATTAGTTGATTTATTTAAACAATTATATCATAAATATTAAAATTACCGTTTACCATGCGTTAATAATAATTAAAATTACTAGATAAATATCAGTTATTTTTTAAATGTTTTTAATGTTTTAAATTTTAATATTTTAATTTTCAAAATTTTATTTTCTATTTGATACGTGTATGGCCTAATTTAGCTATTTAGTGTTCTTAATTAATTTATAAATTGGGATTCGGCCCAAGCCTACTATCATTGGGCCGTTTCCCTTTCAAGGCCCATTAAAGTACATGAGCTTCTCAAGAGAGCCCAATATCCGGCCCAAATTTCAACTGCTGAGGCCCATTTCGAAATATCGTCTTCCAGTTCCTGCTGACCGTACATGGTATCCCTCTCCCAGTTCTTTCCCGCCTCTGTAACTCGCCGTCCGCCGCGTAATCTCCGATCAACCTCCGGGTTGAATGTAAGTGAAAAGCTCTTTGATGCTGCGCTGCCTTACAATGTTTGTCAATGTGCGTCGCCTACAGAAATCTTTTATGGTGCATTACTGCATTGGTCTTCTTCTTTGAGTTCACCCCAAACCACATTCCCCAAGTTTATAAATGAGTATTGTTCGTCGTCTTCTTCGGATTTGGATAGTCTTGCTTTTGATTACGTAGTTCAATTTTTGCCTTCCAACGACGGTACTTTGAGATTCATCTCTGTGAGTTCAGTGACAGTAGGGTCACTATTAGGTTATCCAAAGCGATTAAGCTGTATAGGGTTTGAAGATACTTTTGAGGAATTTATACCCTGTTTTTTTTGTCAAGATTATGAAATTGTTTGAATGTTGAGGAACCGCGTTTGCGTTCTTTAAGCTGGCATTTAAGGATGACTGTGAAGGAACTGTTAGGTCTTGTTGTGTTGTGTTGTAGGGAAGTTGTTTAGGTATGTGGTTCGAAAGGGACCTCTCCCTCATAATTATATGTTTAACATAATGATTCTTGGGTTTTGTAGAAAGGTTGGAGCATGTGACGAGCAAATTTAGCTGTGAACCAGATGTTTATTCGCATAATTCTGTGATAAATGCAAACTGCTTAAAAGGGCAGTCATCACAGGCACTTCACTGGGTGAATTTGATGATCGCAAATGGCTGTAAATCTAGTATTGCTACAATCAGTTCCGTCATTGATGCCTTCTGCAGGGGGGGGGGGGGGGNGAAATTTTTTGTTGAAATTGTAGATATGTGGATCAATTATTAAGGGATATATCTGTATCTGGTTTGCTTAACGATTCTTCACTATGTCATGTAACTGTCTCAGGACTGTGCATGGGCTGGTAGATACGATGAAACCATGATGTTTTTAGAGGATTTACTCGAGAAAGGATTTCCTCCAACTGGTTGCTTTTAATTCCATTCTTGCAGAATGCGGCAGTGCAAGTTTAGAAGAGAGAGCATTTTATGCTTATGGTACAGTGGCGAATTTGGTTTAAATGCGGCAGTGCAAGTTTAGAAGAGAGAGCATTTTATGCTTATGGTACAGTGGCGAATTTGGTTTAACTCCGTCATCTTCCACGTGTAGTTCTTTGCTTATCAGCTTAGCTAGGGAGGGGAACCTTGATTAAGCTAGGATAATTGTGTACGACACGATAGAGAAAGGATTCCCTGTCAATGACCTGGCTTTTACAGCTCTTTTGAATGGGTGCTTCAGGGCAGGAGATGTCATTACGGCTGAAAGTTTGTGGAATGAGATGAAGGGTAGGGGGTGTTACCAGATGTAGTTGCATTTGCTGCTTTTATTAAAGTTTGTGGAATGAGATGAAGGGTAGGGGGTGTTACCAGATGTAGTTGCATTTGCTGCTTTTATTTATGGGCTCTGTATGTCTGGTTTGATGAAGGATGCTTATGATGTTGTGAGATTCCATATTGATTGGAGAGGGGTATGAAACATTCTCTATAAGAGTGTGGAAACCTCTTCCTAGTAGACACGTTTTAAAAACCTTGAGGGGAAGTCCAAAAAGGAAAGTCCAGAGTGGACAATATCTGCTAGCGATGGGCTTAGGCTGTTATGAATGGTATCAGAACCAGATATCGGACGGTGTGTCAGTGAGGATGTTGGGGCCCGAAGGGTGGTGGACTGTGAGATCCCACATCGATTGGAAAGGGGAATGTAACATTCTTTATAAAGGTGTGGAAACCTCTTCCTAGTAGACGTGTTTTAAAACCTTGAGGGGAAGCCTGAAAGGGAAAGCTCAAAGAGAGCAATATCTACTAGTGGTGGGCTTGGGCTGTTTATAGGGGAAGCCTGAAAGGGAAAGCTCAAAGAGAGCAATATCTACTAGTGGTGGGCTTGGGCTGTTTATTGAAGTATTGTCTGACATCTTGAGAAAAAAAGTTTGTGCCTAATAATTTTGTGTGCAATTCCTAGATTGGTGGAATCTGAAAAGTGGGAAAACTAATATTTTTACGACAAGCATGATAATAATTGGTGCTAGATTGGTGGAATCTGAAAAGTGGGAAAACTAATATTTTTACGACAAGCATGATAATAATTGGTGGGGAATGCAAACAAAGATAGACGAAGTTAGCCATTGGGACGTTCATGGACATGTATAAGATGAGTTTATCTCATGATATTGTCAATTACAGCACATTGATTAATGGTGTTCATGGACATGTATAAGATGAGTTTATCTCATGATATTGTCAATTACAGCACATTGATTAATGGTAACTGTAAAGTGACATGGGTAATGAAAATGTCAGATGGTAGGTGGGAACCTGATATAAGGACTTACAGTATACGAATTCATGGTTTCTGCACTGCCCGAAAAATCAAGTGGGCTGTGATGATACTTGACTTACAGTATACGAATTCATGGTTTCTGCACTGCCCGAAAAATCAAGTGGGCTGTGATGATACTTGAGGAACTTATTTCAGCAGGGGTTGTTCCGAATGCTGAAACATACAATACTATGATTAATGCTGTCTAGTGTCATCCTGGACCATGCTATGATGGATCATTAATTAGAGCATTCTTGTGCTCTATGAATCCTTATCCAAGATTTTTGTAATTTGATAGTGGCACGTGAATTAAACTCTTGAAGTTGAATGGCTGTTCCAATAAATTAGACTTAATGGAGCATCAAGCCAGCGAGAAATCTCATACTCCAAGTACTTGGAGAATCTGGACAACAATTGATCCCAAGTTCCTGATACGTCGACAAATAGAAGAATGTTCTTGGAGGATTCATCCTTTGAGGTAATAATTCGTAAAACTTGTCTCCAGTAGGAAAAACTCCAATTAATCTGCTGTTTTGATTTCTAGATGGTTTTGGAGGGAACCGTGATGTGCGAGTATTCTGATCTCCGTTTGGCTGATGTTGTGTAGGAATATATTATTTAGTAGCGTGGTGTATAATTTAACCCTGTAACTTAACCCAGAACACCTTAGTTATATATATTTTTTACTCAGTTGACACATTCTATGGCAATGAAAGTTCATAGTTTGAATGTTCTTTTACTTGGTCTTAACACTTATTACTTGTTTGGCCATTTGCTGTATTTGTTTTGTCTATTGATTTCAACTTATGCTGCCCATGTGAATGACTTTTTTGTCCCAAATCGCCATTGACCTATAAATTAGATATCATATAGGGTGAAAGCCAGTGATGAAACTGCAACTTGAATGTTGTTTTCATAGTAATTGAATTGTGAGATATATATATATATATATATATGAAACTGCAACTTGAATGTTGTTTTCATAGTAATTGAATTGTGAGATATATATATATATATATATTTTATATATATGCTAGTGTTTGAGCCAGCATGTGCACACCTTAATTATTTTCACGGGACAACTGCTTGACATATATGTTTACCAAAGTAACTCATAAGATATTAAATTTAATTATTTTCACGGGACAACTGCTTGACATATATGTTTACCAAAGTAACTCATAAGATATTAAATCCTAGGTAGGTGGCTACTATGGCTAGAATCCATGAATGGAAAGTAGAGGTTAAATATTTATTTGTTTACTGTTTCCTTCCTTTCCTTTAATTGCGAAGGAATAACTAAATTGGCCTAATAGTCAAAATAATCATATCCTAAGCCTAAGCTTAGATGTTTTTTTTTTTTTTGAGTTCAAACTATAGTGGTCATCCTATTTAAGATAAGATTAAATATATGACCTTCTTGAACATGTTTTGTTTTCCAAGTTTTAGCATTAAATATCATTAAGAAAATATGTACGGGATCAAATTTTTTTATATGAAAAAAATTGTAGGATCCCTCTTGTTTAAAAAGAAAAAAGGTTATAGGATGCCATATTTAATTTAGTCCACTTGCAATTAACTTGAGCCTCACATTTATTAAAGAAAAGGGCGTTTGGAGAGGGAAAAGTGGGTACATCTCTCACTATCATCTTGACTAAGTAGATACAAGAAAAGGGCGTTTGGAGAGGGAAAAGTGGGTACATCTCTCACTATCATCTTGACTAAGTAGATACAATATTAATGTTTAGTGATTATTAACGATTAAAATAATTTTGTTTAGAAATTGTGAGAATTTCTTGCAGGTAGCATCTGTGAGATCCCACTTCGATTGGAAAAGGGAACGAAACATTTCTTAAAAATGTGTGAAAACCTCTCTCCCAAACCATGAGGCTGATGGCGATATGTAGTGGACCAAAGCTTCAGCGTTCACAATACCTAAGGTTTTCAAGTGGATGAATATGAAAGCGGCCCCACCATATCCTGTCAGTACCTATATCTATCTATATGATAATTTGTTTGTTTTCTGGGCCCCATAGAGCAAAAACCGAAGGATTTCAGACAATAGAGTATCATAACTCAAATAGACTATTTACATTAGCTTCTGTTCATCTCCTGCAGTAGAATTTCTATTTGGTGTCCTATGTTTGCCTTTCTATTTACATTAGCTTCTGTTCATCTCCTGCAGTAGAATTTCTATTTGGTGTCCTATGTTTGCCTTTCATTTCTTGATTGATATTCTGTTCTGCTCATTTTCTTTGCTTTCAAAATTACAGCTTAGTCTATATGCCAAAACCTGATTGTGAAAGTGTGAAACCAGAGTTTTAAGGTACTTTTGCTCTTTGCATTATCATAAATCTTCTTCTACTTGCACCCTCCACATGCTCTCCCAGTTTCTGCAGGTGGCTCATCCGCCTTCTCCACGAGTCCATCACCTTCGTTTTCTCTGGTTCTCTTTCCATGTCGGGTTTGTTGTCGCTGTTATCAGGACTTTTCTCGTAAGGCTCATCGTCGTCCTCAGCTTTAATGATCTGCTTCAATCTGTTTACTACTTCAGCCATTGAGGGCCTATCCTTCGCATTTTTCTCCAAGCAAGTGTTTGCTAACTTTGCTACTTTTCTAGCTGTATTGATGGGGTACTCGTTTTCAAGCCGAGGATCTATTATCGAACTAAACTTTTTGCTGTCTGGATTGATATATTTAACCCATTCCACAAGATTCTGTTCTGGTCTTGGATGATGTCTCTCCAATGATCGTCTCCCAGTTAAAATCTCATAAAGCACAACACCATAGCTCCATACATCACTTTTCGCTGTAAGATGGCCTGTCTTGATGTAGTCCGGAGCTGCATATCCATTAGTCCCCATCACCTGAGTGTACATGATGTAGTTCACTGTGAGCATCTGTAATTGATTAAAGGGAGAAGAATAAAAAAACAAACAAACACTTACTGCTGTTGAAACATGAGTGCGCCCAAATTCTGGCCCTTCCCTGGCAAGCCCAAAATCTGAAAGTTTTGGATGAAAATTTTCATCAAGTAGCACATTTGAACTCTTGAAATCTCTGTATATTATCTGTGCCACATGAGGGTAAATCTAGTCACAGAAAAAAGCGGTATGTTTGTGTATAACTATCTTGTTTAAATGCACACGCCCTGAAATTGAATTCTATTTGAGAAGATATGGTACCTGAACTTCTAATCCTTCATGCAGATAAGCCAACCCCTGAGCTGCTCCAAGTACTATCTGCAATCTTGTTTTCCAAGCGAGTGTCGGTAGCGCCTTGTTGAAGAGATGATCTTCCAAGCTTCTGTTCGTCACGTACTCGTATATGAGCAGTCTTTGGATTCCTCTTGTTCCATCCACAGCACAGTATCCTACGAGTTGGACAAGATTTGGATGCTCCACTATACCAAGAAATTGAACTTCTGCCAGCCACTGCTTGTGGCCCTATTTGCAAAATAGAAATGGTACGTACAAAGAAAAATCACTTCCTCATGAAAACTTGCCTTATTTTCCATAGGATTAAAACTTAACAAATAGTAGTAATGATTTTCTGTTCTTGATGCATCTTATATGGAATGGATATAACCAGATCACCCAATCAGCATCTCCAACAATGAAGAAATTCGCCCAATAAATTCAAAGAAAAACATACCTGTAAGCCATCCTTACTCAGTTGCTTGATAGCAACAACAAGGGGATCTCCCTTCCCATCAATGGGCTTAATTGAGCCTTTAAAGACACTCCCAAATCCTCCTTGTCCGATCTTAAGAAGCCTGTTGAAGTCATGTGTTGCCTCTCTCATCTCTGCAAATGAGAAAACTCTCAAATTATGTGCTTTCTCTTCATACAATTCAGGTACACTCCGAGTTGACGTTAGAGAGCACGAAGAAGCAGCCGTCCGACTGCATCCCGAAAAGTCAGATTCTAGCTCCCCTTTCAATTCAGGTGCGGATCTTTGATGCCTCCTACTCCTGGACTTGTTTCTGAAGTAGAAAAAGCACTTCATTTTCTATTAGATCTGGAAATTTAGCAATTCCCACGTTGTTTTGAGCCTCTGCAATTTATCCCCAGAAGAAATGTAATGCAAAAGCTTTCAGCTGTTTCTGGTCTCAAAAGAACAGCTGATTACACATCTTATAGAGATTGATACAAAAGCAAAAACAGAGGAAAAACCACAAGAACTATGATAGGAACGTTCTCGATGCCAGATTGAAAAACTCCAAATACATAACAGAAAGAAACAATAGCTGAAGAAGAAGAAGAAGAAGGTGCCAGATTGAAAAACTCCAAATACATAACAGAAAGAAACAATAGCTGAAGAAGAAGAAGAAGAAGGAGGGAAAATGGGGAAACAAGGAGACAAAAGAAGACAATGGTGGATAAAAGACTTGTTTGGTAATACTTGTACACAAAAAACAGACAAAAAAGGCGGCTCTTAAGCCTCTCTTACTATGAGATCCCACATCGGTTAGAGAGGTGAACGAAACCCCCTTTATAAAGGCGTGAAAACCTCTCCCTAACAGACGCGTTTTAAAAATCTTCTGCTAACGGTGGGTTTTAGCGGTTACAAATGGTATCAGAGCCAAGTTTCGATCTTGGGACCCGTGGGTTACTCTTTCCTTGCTCCTTGAAACAGTCCAAACAAAGATTTGTTAAACAGAAGCTTGAAGCTGGGAAGAAATTTGAGGAGCATTCTTTTTCTGACTTGTGCTTCTTGTTTCTTCTTGTTCTGCAGGAGATCGATGAGACCCAGATGGGATCAAGGGAAAGGGCTAATTTGTTGAGTCTGGCTTGAAGTTTCAGAATCCATTTGAGCCTATGGGTATGTACAGTTGATGTTCGGTGGGTGAACTGAATGAATGAATCAATGAATTTTACTGCTCTGTTTTGCTTTTTGGATGTCAAATAGTTGAAGATAGAAGCATGGTCAAAGGGGAACCCAAAGGATAGACAAAATTATGATTTTTTTTTTCTATTAATTGCAAATTTGGCCCCAGTTCGAACGTTATAATTTAGTCCCTATAGTTTTAAAAGTTAGAATTTTGTCTTTATGGCTCGGAAATTTTTTGTTTTTATTAGTTTAAGAAATTTCTTATTTATTATAGGGATTAATTCTAAATTTGGTTTAATTTTCACTTATTTTATAAAAAGGGTAAAAATCTTCATGAACTAATTAATTTCAATAAAAAAAAAATGGCCATTTCACAAATTAATTACTAAATAAATTTACAAAACTTATTTAATGTTATTTTTCCTTAAAGTTTTATTTGTAAGCATGTTTTATAATTTGGTAAAATCTAATTTTCTTGAAGAAATAAATATTTTTAAATTTATTGGATTTTTTTTCTCAAAATAATAACAATAATAATAATTACAACAATTATTTATTTATATACATCAAACATCATATATAGACTTTTTCTTTTTTATTTTTAAACAAAATTTATGACAAATGATTCCATCAAGATTTGCTGCAAAGTCAAGAGATGAGAAGGTTAGTTATTTAAATATTAAATTCAAAAATTATTTTAAAATATTAATTTCAATACTCATTTTAAAAAATATTAATTTCAAACTATACAAAGTGAAATTCCAATATTACCCTTCATAATATTTCCAATTTGCATCCATAAAAAAATGTTAATTATGGTAACTTTTAGAAACTTGAGCTACATTTCAAAATCAACAGCTAAGATGCCAGGTTTTCTGACCGTGATATTTAAGAAAATAATAAAAGTTGACTTTTGACTTTTTTAGTTGACTTCCTTTTCCTCTCTAGATTAGTGGCAATTGCCATGTCGTAAAAGTTATAATATATGCTTTTAACTCGTTGAATTATACTCAAATTAATTTAAAAAACGTTAATATAATATATTTTTTAATATTTATTATTGAGAATCTTATAAATATTAAGGCCCAAACATTTAAAATAGTTAATAATTATTTAAATAAATTCTTTTGACGAAATTTTAATTTTAATTTTCTCATTCATATTTTCTACACTTATTCAAAATTTTCGTAATTTCTCTACTAAATTCTTTCAAACTTCTCGAGTCAAGTCTTATTTAGTAGGCAAAATCATTTTTACAATGTTAAAATTTGCGATTTTTTCTCATAACACATGACTAATGTGGTTGACTTTAGACATCTCGTCCAACGAAATGAAACAAAACTAGGTTTCACATGAAACTCACGCATTTTCAGTTCTCTCGTGTATCCATTTTTTACTCGAGCGTCGTAATAATAGAGATATTGTTTTAAAACAACGAGCAAAATTTAAAGTTTTTATTTATTTATTATTATTATTATCTAATAGGTTTTAACCTATGTATACTTATAATATATTAATTTCAATATTACCCTTTATAATTTAAATAATTTGTTTAGAAATTTGAGGCAGATTTCAAAATCAATACCAAAGCTGCGAAATTTTCTGACGTTGACGGTTGTGAGAGTAACAAAGGACAAATAAAAACAAAAACAAAAACATTGAGTTGACTTTGACCAAGTTTTTGTTGACTTCCTTGCTTCAAAAATATGTTTTCAATATTAAAAAAAAAAAAAATATATTACAATAAATGTAATGTTTGGGTAATTATTTTTCATATTTTTTTAGAATAATTAATGTTTAAAGAATAATAATTTTTTATGTATTATTTGATCAATTTAAAAAATAAAAATTTAATTTTCTCACTAAAAATTACAATTAAAATAGTCTTTGAAGAAAAATGCTGCAACCCCCACATTTTAGGAAAATATTTTTTATAATTACTAAATTACAATTAAAATAATTTTATAATAATAATAAAATTATTATTAGTATATTTAAAAAATTAAAAAAAAATTGAAATTCTCTCTCAATTTTTTCTACCAAACTCTTCTAGATTTTAATAATTTCTCTACCAATTTTTTCTAAATTTGGGTTGAGTCAAGTCTTATTTGGCAGGTGAAAACGTGTAACATTCTTTAAAATTGTTAAAATATTTTAAATTAATATAATACTGCTTCATGCTCGAGATTCAGTTCAGAATTTGAAATTTGAATTTAGCTCTTAATAGTGGTAACTTTCAGAGAACTAAAAATTATACCCACAAACTAACACGGGATCTTTTAAGATGTTTTTTTCTCACTCCTATGTTTTTGTTAAGAAATAGAAATAGAAAATAGAATTGGAAAAGTGTATTATCTTCATTCATGTTTACGACGATTAAATAGATACAAACTATTAACTAATACCTAAAAATAGAAAAAAAAAATATATAACTAACTAAATCTTGTAAATAAATAAAATACACGATTAATCAAATTTATACTAACAACTCCCTAAATATCTCTTACATATATTCTATCTAATATATCTCCAAAATATCCTCTTAATACTCCCCTCAAGTTGGAGAGTGTATGTCGATCACACCCAACTTGTTCTTCAAAAGGTCAAATATAACACGGTTTTATGATTCCAGCTTGTAACTTTTCTCGAACTATATGACAATCTATTTCAATGTGTTTCATACGTTCGTGAAAAACTGGATTGGCTGTTATATGTAATGTTGCTTGATTATCACAATATAATAATGCTGGTTCGAACAGTGGAACATTCAAGTCTTGAAGAATGTATCTTAACCAAGTTAACTCTAAACAAGTATTTGCCATAGCTCGATACTCGGCTTCTGCTGATGATCTGGACACATTAGTCTGCTTTTTAGACTTCCAAGAAATAATTGAATTTCCATGAAAAATGCAGAATCCAGAAATAGACCGTCTGGAAATTCGACAACCACCATAGTCAGAATCGCATTATGCTTGTAATCTTAAATTGTTTTCAGATGGCAGTAGGAGTCCTTGACCAGGAGTGCCTTTGATGTACCTCAGAACTCGAAAAGCTGCCTCCCAATGTGGTTTTCTTGGTTCATGCATAAATTGGCTAAGCATACGAACTGAATAAGCTATGTCAGGCCTAGTGACAGTCAAATATATTAATCTGCCAATCAACCGTCTGTATTTACTTGGATCGTTCAATTTCTCTCCTTCAGTTAAAGAAAGTTTCAGATTTTGCTCCATAGGAAATTTGTCTGGACGTGCTCGTGTAAGGCCTGTGTCTTGAAGGATGTCTAGAGCATACTTCCTTTGAGACATAAAAATTTCTTTTCTAGACCGAGAAAATTCAATGCCTAGAAAATATTTCAAATTTCCTAAATCTTTGATAAGAAATTTCTGGAATAAACTAGTCTTGAGATATTGCATTTCTTTAAGATCATTGCCTGTCAAAAAAATATCATCAACATAGATTAGAACTGCAGTGAAAGAAGTACCTTTACTCTTGGTAAACAAAGAGTAGTCTGCTTTGGACTGAGTGTAGCCTGCATTTTGTATAGTTGTAGAAAATATGGAGAACCAATTGCGAGAAGCCTGTTTTAATCCATAAAGAGATTTATGGAGCCGACATACTGTATTCTCCCCCTGTCGGCGAAGACCTGGTGGTAAAGACATATAAACTTCCTCGTCTAGATTACCATGGAGAAAGGCATTTTGAACATCCAACTGATGGGTGAACCATTTTCGAGCAGCAGCAACAGTGAGTAAGCAACGAAGTGTAGTAAGTTTCGCTGTAGGGGAAAATGTTTCTGTGTAATCAATACCTTCAACCTGAGTGTATCATTTTGCTACAAGTCGAGCTTTATGACGTTCAACAGAACCATCAGAGTTGTATTTAATTTTGTACACCCAGCGACAACCAATAACTTTATGACCAGGTGGTAGAGGAACGAGAGACCATGTATGATTACGTTCCAAAGCTGCAATTTCATCATTCATAGCCTGCTGTCATAAAGGGTCGCCAACTGCCTCGTCATAGGTTTTAGGTTCTGTCTGGGATGTAATAAGAGCTAGAAAAGCACGTTGAGTAGGAGAAAAACGAGAGAATGAAAGGTAATGATGAAGGGGATACCTGGTGCCAGTGCTGGGACTTGAGCTAGAGGTTAAATGATTGGCTCCAGAAGACATCTCATAATCCTTATGCCAAGCTGGAGGCTGTTTAGTGCGAGTAGAACGTCGGAGTGAGCTGATGTATCAGGCGGGATAGGATTGGAATCAGTGGGCAAATCTGGAGGAGGTGGAGGAGACAACGAAGTAGTAGGTGAAGGGATAGGAGGTGAAGGAGGAATGGAAGGTGGAGGATGGATGCTTAAGTAGGATGGATCATGAAGTGGAACAACAGGAGTCGAAAGAGCTAATGTCGAAGTTTGTGAAGCTGATGAAAAAGGAAAATCATCTTCACAAAATTTAACATCACGGCTGATAAAGAATTTGTGAGATTGCATGTCATACAATTTGTAACCTTTATGACCACAAGGATATCCTACGAAAACACAAGGAATTGCCTGAGGTTCAAATTTTTGCTTAGGATGTACTATAGTTGTATTTGACGTTGATTACACGTAAATGGTGTGCGGTACGCTTCCAGTTCATCCCAGAGTGCTTTGAGCTTGGTGAAATATGTTGACAGTGCCATGGTTCCTTGTGACATCGTTGCTATCGAGTTTTGTATTTGAAAAATTGTTGGAGCATTCTTTTGTGAGAATTGATCGCGAAGATCAACCCACACTTGATGAGCTGTCTTGGCGTGAATAATGCTTTTAGCGATATCTGCTTCAACAGAATGAGTTAACCAAGATATTATCATACTGTTGCACTGATTCCAGAGTTCGAATTCGGTTGAATTTGCATCTTGGGGCGGTTCATCAATCGTGCCATCAATGAAGCCAATTTTCTTCTTGACAATAATAGCATGCATAACTCATTTCCTCCAGGATTGGTAATTTGCTCCATTTAATTTGATTGGAACAAGTGAATATCCTGACTGATCAGAGTGATGCATATAGTAAGGATGTGTTAAATCAACATCCGAAATTTTAAAACTGGATTTGGTTGATTCCGCCCTAAAGGAAATTTTGATATTTAAGAACACCACGATCTATGCTCTGATACCATGTTAAAAAATAGAAATAGAAAATAGATACAAACTATTAACTAATACCTAAAAATAGAAAAAAAAAATATATAACTAACTAAATCTTGTAAATAAATAAAATACACGATTAATCAAATTTATACTAACAACTCCCTCAATATCTCAGATATATTCTAACTAATTATCTCCAAAATATCCTCTTAATAGTTTTTTATAAAAAATTTCGAGAACCCAGGTTAAGATTTGATCCCGATTAAATATGCTTCATTTTTATATTACAATTACTTGTATATTAATATTGTTACAAATAAAGATGCCATGAGATAAGGACGGAGAAGGGGATTTCTCGTCTATGTCCTCACCTTCTATTTCAATCCATATCTTTGCGAAATTGTCTATTTATTTTTGTCGGAATTAGGTCAAAATTCTCTGTAAAAAATATAAATAAAAAGTGAGGTGAACAAAAATGAATAATATAATCTTCATCCCTGACCCCCTTTAATTAACTGAGTTAAATGGACAGCTCTAATCATAAATCATAATTATCGAACATTATCATCACGATGTTATTAAAATTTGTGACAAATTAATATATTTTATTGTGTAGGTTAAATTAGTAAAAATATTTATAAATTTTGTATTTTGTCTAAAAAATACTCTTAAACTCCAAAAAATAATAATAAAAATAAAAATAAAAATATATTTATAATTAACTTTCAATATTTTTTAAAAATACCCATAAAATTTAAAATTTTCACTAATACCCTTTCAATTTAAAAAAAATAATAAAAAAAATACTTTTACCATTAGTAATATTTACCTTACCCGTAAGAATTCCTCGAAATAATCTTTATTTAAACTAAGAATTGAGAGACGGGAAAAGAGATTTCTTATCGTTAGATAAATTCGACTAGAGACGAAGATTGTATTCTCGATTTAGTTACAGCTTTTTTTTACATATAAATATATATTATAAATTATAGTAAAATCAGAATTTATATTACAATCATATTTTGGATTTCCTTCCACTATTATGTAATATTAAATTTTAATTTTTTTTTAGACCTTGTAAAAATAAATGGGGAATTTCACGAGAGCGGGGATGGAGATGGGGAAGGTTTCCCATCTCTGTCCTGCCACGTGGACATCTATATTTCACGAACTTCACATATTTTTTTTATTTTAATGGTATTTTTATTATTTGTTTGCTTTTGATATATAAGGACTTGATTGGAATTTCACCCTAAATTTAGGTTATAAATATACTGTGTTAATTAATTTAAAGATAAATTTGAAATATTATGATTAAAATATCTTTTAAAAAAAGATAATTATTAGCTTAAATATTAATAATATATTATCTAATTGAAAATCCGCTTTGAATTACCTGGAAAAATCTGACCCTGTTTTGCCTTTAACGCCCTCCTTTTCCCTCCTTAATTTTGTAGCCGTCTTTCTCACTCTACCTGTCCTTCTCTCTCTAGAATCCTCCATTGTTGCCCAACAGACTGGCGCTTCTCTGTCACCTAAATTCTCTCGGAAAAATTCTCTGCTCTTCGCATTCACTGTCACTCCGGATTCTGGAAGATTCTTCGCCGTCTCTTTTCCGTGCGTAAGTTCTTCATTCGCGTTTTATGCATTTCTCATTCCTTGGTTGTTGCATTTTCTTTGATGCATGGCGGTTGTTTGCAACTTTGTATGAAGTTCCTGATGGTTTTGGTTTGCAGGGGAAAGAAAAGTCGGAGGTGATTTCTGTAGAGAATTCTTGAAATTATATATATGCATTGGGAAGTAAGGGATTGGTATAGATGTCTTTCAATCAATCAAGGCGTGATATGAATGAGGAGTCTCAATTTAAGAAATCTGTGCGATCATCGAGCTTGAATCAGCAGAGAAACTCTAGCGGACTTCATTCTAAGTCGGGTGATTCCGGCAGGTGTGCGCCGCCGATCGTCTCCAACCATAGGTACTTACGTTGCGATGTTGTTATGATTATGAATGGCTTTGTGCTTTTGCTTTCTTTTTTAAATTTTATTAAGAAATATTATATGAATTCTGTGGTTTAATCGCTACCGGTAGGTTTCGAGGAATTGTTTGATTTTCTACATTGTTCTTAGTACTAATTCATTTGTTTCTTCTTTTTCCCCGTTCCGATTTGTTTTAGTTTTAAGCAGTCTAGCGGCGCACAACATGCACGGAAATCTAGGGCTGGAGTATCTTCTATAAATTCTACCGTTTCTACTGCCCCTCGTGGAGGACAAAACGGTTCTCATGTTCATCCGCAACAGAATGGTACGAGATCTTTAGTAAAAAAATCCGTTTATCGTTCATAAGGAAGCTATTCAATTGCTTTTTATGTAGTAATTGGTGGATGATGAAAGTCCCACCTCGGCTAATTTAGAGTCCATACCATTGTGAAGAGTCGTGTTCGTCTAATAGTAATATCATATCATCGGCATTTGATTTATATTACAATGTGAATGCTGTATTTCCAATATTGTTTCTGTTTCCTTTTGATTATATTTTTGTTAAGGCTTTTTTTAACATTTCTTGTTCATTTTTGTGTAATGATTTTGCAATATATGAGTTTAATACATTGCTTGCAGGTTCAGCGTCCAATCCAGCAAAATTGACTGAATCCCAGAGCGCGATTGTTAGAAAAAATGCAACTTCTCAAACGACCTCAAAAACTTCTAATGCATTTTCAGAATTATGTTCAATTTTACGACGGATAAGTGTTTTGGCATGTCGTGGTGCTTGATGACATTTAGTTTGGTTGGTTCGATGATGCTAACCGTAGTTTTCTTTCATGTTCTAGACTGGGGAGAAGAGCATAAAACATTTTCACTTCAATTTGGATCCTTAAGTCCTGGTTTTCGGGTATGCATGCCATCCTTTCCATGATTATTTAGTAATGCTGATGATATCATTACTATATCTGTAAATGTAATTCCTGGTAGTCGATAAGTTAGTTATATGATCATATCTGATATGAGGATTGGGGCTCTGGTATTTCAGATTCCTAGGACCAGCTCAGCTCCTTCAAGTCCGGAAGAACTGATACCGAATCAGGTTAGAATGCGTTGAATGCTACTATCTTGGTTTATATATGTGTGTTAATGGTAACCCCAGTAGCTCTGGCACTCGTTGACTATATTCTTTTGTGATTTTGGTTCTGGCTTCCATAAATCTTTCATGAGTGTAGAAACTCGTTTCAACTGTTGGCATGCACCATTGTCATCTCTACATCATTTGGATGGTTTTTCAGTATGCTTGGCCTAAGCTCTAGATTTTAGCATTTTTTCTCATGCTCAGTTGTTCATATGATCTATATGGATTCTATTCATCTATACTCACGGTTCTTGTTTGTCTTTCTTGCCGACTGGATTCGTTTCATTCTTATCAGTTGTTTTTATCTGCAGGCACAACACTATTTGTTTAAATCTGTACCTCCAGGGTCTGTGCAACCAATAGCAAAAAGTCCTAATATTGGAAAGCCCGTACGAATTTCAGAATCAAATGCTGCCGAGAGAGGAGGCTCGTCTACTTCAAATGAAGTTTCCCGTGCAGAGTTTAGTGTTGAACGTTCAAGTTCTTATGCAGAAGTTAGTAATTGCAATTCAGACTCGAAAACACTGGAGAAATGGGATGAACCTGTTAGTTCTCATGCAGAAGTTGACAGTTCAAAGGACAATAACGTTCTTTCTAACTCCATAACTCATGGAAATAAGACTTCACTTATTGTTGCATCATCTTGTCAAAGCAATGGTGACAAAAATACCGAAATGCCCCGAGCTGATCTGCAGTCTGCTCCTGTTCAAACGTCTGAACTCTCAAAGATGAAGCATGAAGGAGATAGATTAGAGCACACAGGTTTTCAGTGTGATCCTAACTTTATACCGGTTGTTGAGGATAAACCTGTTACGGATACAAATAAGACGAGGAATAGGTCTAAAAGAGGGAAGAAGAAGAGAAAGGAAATTCTTCGTAAGGCAGATGCTGAAGAGAAGAAAGAGATTGTCATGTCTGCAGAAAGTTCCAATGGGAGCTTAAATATGAAACAGGAGTCTGCTGGTTCCATTAAGGATGAGGCTGTCTTGACCAAGAAGAATGTTGAGGGTAAACTCGAGCTAGATGATTGGGAAGATGCAGTTGATGTTTCTACTGTTAAATTGAAAGATGAGGATTTTAAAGACGAGGCCAAAGGAAAAGTAGCACTGCACCACGAGGGTGGGGGTGGAGATATGGCCAAAAAGTACTCCAGAGATTTCCTCTTAAAATTTGCAGAGCAGTTCATTGACCTTCCTGATGGATTCGAAACCACTCCCAACACGAAGGCTTTAATGAGTATTAACCACGGTTCTTGCTCTGTTAACAGTAAGACATTTGCTAATCTTGAAATAATGGATAAGCCAAGTGGAGGGGCTCGACTAGACCATCATGCTATTACTGTTGATGACAGACTATTTGCTTCAGTGCGGGATTCACACCTGGATAGCGGTCGACCTACGCAATGGACTATCAATGGCGCTTTAAAGAATCCGAGGGCACATATTGGCTCTCAGGGAAAGATTCAGAGAAATGACTCAAATGCTGATAGGTGGCAAAGAGATACTAATTTTCATCTGAAAGGTTTAGTTTCTCCTCCAACACCATTACAGATGATGCACAGAGCCGAGAAGAAGTATGAAGTGGGTAAAGTGGCTGACGAGGAAGAGACCAAACAAAGGCAGCTGAAGGCTATACTAAACAAGCTAACTCCACAAAATTTTGAAAAACTATTTGAACAAGTGAAAGCTGTTAATATTGATAGTTCTAAGACACTAATTGGCGTCATCAATCAGATCTTTGACAAAGCTTTGATGGAGCCTACTTTCTGTGAAATGTACGCCGATTTTTGTCTTCATCTCGCTGATGAGTTACCCGATTTCAGCGATGATAATCAGAAGATTACCTTTAAGAGGTTGCTTTTAAACAAGTGCCAGGAGGAATTTGAGAGAGAGCAGGAAGAAAATGATGAAGTCAACAAAGTCGGTGAGATGAAACAGCCTGCAGAGGAACAAGAGGAGAAGAGAATAAAGGCCCGCAGAAGAATGCTAGGCAACATCAGATTAATTGGAGAGCTTTACAAAAAGAAGATGATAACAGAGAAAATCATGCATGTATGCATCAGGCAATTGTTGGGTCAAAATCAAAATCCTGATGAGGAAGATATTGAAGCACTGTGCAAATTGATGAGCACCATAGGAGATATGATAGATCACCCCAAAGCTAAGGAGCACATGGATGCATATTTTGAGATGATCACTAAATTATCTAAGAACATGAAGCTGTCATCCAGGGTTAGATTCTTGTTGAAGGATACAATTGATTTGAGAAAGAATAAATGGCAACTTAGGAGAAAAGTTGAAGGGCCTAAAAAAATTAATGAAGTGCACCGGGATGCCGTTCAAGAACGTCAAGCTCAAACTAGTAGATTAGGCCGTGGTCCTAGAATCAATGCATCACTGAGAGGAACATCCATGGATTTTGGCTCTAGAGCGTCTGCACTATTGCCTTCTCCTAATGCTCAGGCTGGTGGTTTTCATGGTTCGACACCCCTGGTTTGTGGTTCAAGCATTCAAGACACTCGTTTTGAGGCCAAGGCATTCCCAAGTCCATTGCCCCGAAGACTTATTAGTGATGATGCTATGACTTTGGGTCCCCAGGATCATTTAGCTAGAGGAATGTCCATTAAAGGGCCACGATCTGTTTCATCCACTCCGTTACCGACTGGTAATAACACACACAGAATGACAGCTGCTTTAAGTTCCATCTCCAAAGGAGACATCCCTTCAAGAAATTTGTCACAGGAACCTGGTATTGCCAATGGATATAAGCAATTGGCAAACATTGATAGCATCCTTGGAAGGTCTCAGTCAATCAAATGTGAACAGCCAGCTTCGACACCAAACGGTCATTCTGAAGTTATGTCCAAAGAACGTCTACGAGACAAGTCCATAGCAGCGATTAGGGAATATTACAGGTACTATCCCATATTGTTTCAAGTTCTTGATTCAATTTGCATGGAAAGTTACTTGAATCACGAATATCCATCTAAACATATTTTATACCATTTAATGTTGCTTAACTTCTTCTGGTTGTTCTTAGTTAAAAGTAAATCAATTTTGTTTTCAGTGCTAGAGATGAGAAAGAAGTTACTCTGTGCATCAAGGACTTAAATTCGCCTGGATTTCATTCATCCATGATTTCTCTTTGGGTCACAGACTCATTTGAGAGAGAAAACAAAGAAAGGGACCTTTTAGCTAAGCTTCTTGTTAGCCTCACCAAATCACAGGATGGTACATTGACTCAACTCCAACTTGTCGAAGGGTAAATATTCTGAATCTTTCTACTCTTATGGATGGTACATTCATTCCTTAAAAGAAATAATTATATTTCTACCATATAAAATCATCAAAATCATCAAATTTTGTTACATATTTTTTATAGTTTGTAAGCATACGTAGTCTCTAATCAATTTATCGATCTGGATGTATAAGAAATCTCATTAAACCTTAACAATATTTTGTTTGATAGACCAAATTGCTACGTATTAAAGTTTAGGGACCAAAAGCATTTTTTAACGTGCTTTTCTTCCTCACAACTTTCTCGAACACGATTATTTATTCTCGTGCATCATTTTACCAGAATCCAACTTGTTCTTGCCACTCTGGAGGATGCGGTCAACGACGCCCCAAAAGCTCCAGAATTTATGGGACGATTACTGGCAAACATGATCTGGGAAAACTTGATTCCATTGAAAGAAATTGGGAAGTTTATACATGAAGGTGGAGAGGAGGCTGGAAGTCTTTTGGAAGTTGGGCTTGCAGCTGATGTTCTTGGAAACGTGCTGGAGGCAGTTCAATTGGAGAAAGGTCAGATTTTTGTGAATGAAATTCTTCAAAGTTCTAATCTACAATTGGAAACATTTCGGCCTTCATACCCAATCAAACCAACAAAATTAGAGAAATTTATTTAGTTTGCACAGAGAACTTTGTGAAATCAAGATAGAAGGAATTCATTAATTTGTGATTTTAGGTTCTTTCTTAATTTTTTTCTTTCAAAATGTTGTGATTTTAGGTTAGTTAGTTACTTGGCTATAGTAAGCTCATGGGAATTTTGTCATCCATTCTCATTTTTCACATCAATTTTTTTTTACAATAGTAGCAACAGTTTTGTGTTCTTCATGTATTAGTCTCTTACACAAATTTAGTTTCTAAATTTTCGTGTTTATATTTATTATGCACACTTTTAAATTTTATGTTTGATAAGTTTTTGCATCTAATAATTACTTATATATTACTATTTTTTTAACTTACATAAAAGTGAATTTTTTATATGTTTATTAAAAGAGTTTAAATTTATTAAGATGGTTTGATCGACAAGGGTAGATTGGGAGACGTCACGCAAGATTTAAGAAATACGATTCTTCCTCGTATTAGTCCTACTTTCAAATCTGTTTTTTTTGATTGAGTATATATCAAACTATAGGCTGAAGGCTTCTTGAGTGATGGATTGAATTGCCTTATTTTCCATTACAATATATCATGAGCCATAAATTTCTAACGACCACATATATCAAATAGAGAAAATAGGCCGACAAAGCCCTCCTCCAAATGTAATCTTCAACCATCATCTTGTAAGTCAATCAAGGAAAAGGAAATTACAGAGAGAGGTTTCGTATAAACATCGAACGGTTGAAAGGAAATCACAGAGAGAAAGGTTTCGTATAAACATCGAACGGTTGACACGCGGTTAATTGTGGCTCCTGCAAATACCCAACGGGAATGAGATTTGAACTAAAATTCTTAATAACAATATACTATTATGGTGTTTAGTTAGATTGTATGCATTCATGCAAACCTCAAACATGGAGCTCTTATTAGAACCAGATGATGATCTACCATGAAAAGTGAAGTACCTGTCCGAGCCCACCTACGGCGCTCCCACCAGTCAAAAGCATGGTGACCAGCGACGTCACGATACCGCCACCAATGTCGCCACCGACTCCTGCATTTTTTATAGCATTTCGCATCGAGTTCAGTATGCTCCCATATGTAGCTCCATGTCCGAGCTCGATCGCTTGGATGAAGCAGAAAGTCATGGCACCTGTTGATGTTATCTTTGACAGAGCCTGTGCCAGTTCAATTAATTAGCTTGACATCATTGCATTCAAATCTAAAGTAATGCGATTGGGATAAAAAGAATTATGGATTATGAAATGTAGTGAACTTACAGATGTATCAGCAGAGGTCTGGTTATCATCACAGCCACTGAAAGAAATAACTTCTCCACCACTCGTTCCTTTCCATACTCCAGATCGCGGGCGATGGTCCTCCCATTTGTATTGTCCACTCCTATGAACAAAGGGGAAAAACAATAAATGAAAAGCTGAATCCAGGAGTAACAACATTTGCTACTATTTGACTATCGATATGCTCGAACCTTCGGTGAGAGCAACATCGACGTCTCAGATTACTTTCAGCTAAAAAGCGTAAACATATTTATGCAATAACAACCTATTCATTCGGCATAGAAACGATAACATTTGCTACTATTTCGAATTTTCTATCATATCTAGATCTTTTGGACGGTTATGACTATCGATATGCTCAAACCTTTGGTGAGAGGAACATCGACGTCTCATGTTACTTTCAGCTAAAAAGCGTAAGCATATTTATGCAATACCAAACTGCTCATTTTGCACAGAAATGACAACCATTTGTTACTATTTTCTATCATATCTAGATCTTTTGAATAGTTATGACTATTGATATGCTCGAAATTTCGGTGAGAGCAACATCGACGTCTCATATTACTTTCAGCTAAAAAGCATAAAAATAATTATGCAATACCAACCTGCTCATTCAGCATAGAAATGACAACCATTTGCTACTATTTTCTATCATGTCTAGATCTTTTGAATAGTTATGATTATCGATATGCTCGAAATTTCGGTGAGAGAAACATCGACGTCTCATATTACTCAGCTAAAAAGCATAAACATAATTATGCAATACCAACCTGCTCATTCTGCATAGAAATGACAAATCTAGTACGGTGCCACTATGGCAAGCATCTATGAATGCATGAAGCTTTACACCTTGAGGAAGAGGTCTAACAATTGCCGTATTAATTTCATCATCAATAATCATTCCCTGAGTTTCAAAGTCCAAAGGGCAAAGTGTTTCATCATATCCATCAACTTCATCGCCATTATAGTTCCTTTGGCGAGATCCGTGACCAGAATAATGGAAAACCAAGGAGTCACCTGGTTGACAACCTTGAACTAGCCAATACAATGCCATTCTAATGTTGTTTTTGTAGGGAATTCTGTAGGGGTCAGTTTCTTCTTCTGCATATAATTTTCCAGAATGAACGTAAGTAAACTAGAGACATGCTATCATTCAAAGATCATAAACATTAGAATGGCATGAAAGAGAATCTTCCAATATGAATAGAAAATTGGATAAATCTGATTTGTCCCTGACAAGAACGGATACAGATGTGGGACAAGAATACAACATGACACCGACATGGTGGCACGTCATTTTGTAAATATCTAGGACATGGACTGTAATAGCCTAAGCCCACTACTAGCAGATATTGTCCGCTTCTCTTATAAGGAAAGTTTCGTTCCCCTCTCCAACCGATGTGGGATCTAACAAGACACAACAATGATACATTTATTAAAATATATTTCATTTTCATACTAGAAAGAAATTCAAAGTTAATAGGTTTAAGAAAACGAGTTAGGTGCAGTTTCACTCTCAAAATTTATAACTTTTGTCCTATATTATTATGTGCCTATTTAGTATACTTGATAAAAGTTTGACTCGTGTCTTAACAAATGTTAGATCTATATTAACTTCTAACTATCAGTTTGTTCTACCAAATACTACCGATGTCACTCGCTCATGTGAGATCAGTTACAGAGGCCCCAAAATTCTTCAAACTACTCCGCAGTTAGTCTCCTACCCCATTTACAACTATAAACCTTCATAACAGTATCTGGGGCATATCATAAATGGACAACAGCACTCTCCAAGGTGCACACAGGCCGCAGATAGTTCTTGTCACATACCAATAGTTATAAAGCTCCCCTGATTTAAACTTAGGCAACCAATCAGACTAACAATTGACAAACTCTCAAGAAACATGGAATTTAACACGTACGATGCTGCTAAGTTTTGAGGTTCGACCCATGATATTTCCTTCTAAAAGCACAATATTACCACTTTCTGTTAGGAATTACGACCTTCACAATGGTAGATATTGTCCACTTTGAGCATAAACTCTCGCGGCTTTGCTTTTGGTTTCCCCAAAAGACCTCATACCAATGAAGATATATTCCTTATTTATAAAATCACAATCATTTCCTAAATTAGCCAATTTGGGACTCCCTCCCAACAATTCTCAACCATCCTCCTCTCGAACAAAGTACACTATAGAGCCTCCTTGAGGCTTATGGAGCCCTCGAACAGCCTCGACCCCTTCTCTAGGGTCCTCGAACAAAGTACACTCTTTGTTCGACACTTGAAGGACTCCCTCCCAATGATCATTCACTAAATTAACCAATGTAGAACTCACTCCCAACCATCTTCAACATTTTCAACTTATAAATCTTATCACTATAATGTGTTTTTTGTTTGTCTACTCAATAAACGGTGCAAGGCTAGGAAGATAGAAATTATACCTCGGCAGTCAACAACATGACCGTAGAGGTCCAAACACACAAGTGAAAATGAAATCTCTGATTCTTCCCAACATTCTTTCTTTCAATTAAGACCACACTCACCCCATAGCCCATCTTTGGAGACATCAAAGTTGTTCTTTATTAAGCTCAGCCTAAGATTAAAAACGTGACCTCTAGGTTTGAGTAACTCAAAGACTGCGAGCCTAAAACAGGGAACCCCAGCCAATGCGCCGCCCTTTGGGGCTCCTAATTCTTCCCAATACATGCAAATAGAAGTTCCCATTCGAACATTCCTATTAGAACGAACCCATCAGAAGTATCAAGAACAAGACAGTTCTAGTATTCCATGAAAATTAAAATGTTGAAGATCAACATGCAATACACTGCATATCTCGTGATGAACTACAGAGATAAAGAGAGAGTTGGGCAAAAGTACCGGTAAGCATGAGGATAGAATCTTCTGGAAAACGGAATTTATTGATCAAAAGATAACGCATACACTTAGCGTCGTTGAGGCAACCCTTGAGCTCATGTCTCGAGTACCTATAAGAGATCCCACAGATAACAGCCCTTTTACGGCCATGCGGATGGGCGGGAGGTCCCGGCGGCGCGTGGTTATAAGGCGACGGTGCCGGCGGAGGCGCTTGATAAGACGACGGTGGAGGGACGGAGCGTGGGTCCATGACCTGCGTCACCGCCCTGCATATAGCGCAGCGAATCGACGAAGCCCCCGGCGGGAGCTGGAGAGGAGTCCGGCAACTGGAGCAGTTCACCAACATCGGCGGCGGGTGCGGATAGTACATCGCCGGATTTCAAATCTAATCAAACGAATTCCAAATTTAGGGAAAAGGAAAATAAAATTTACAAATAACTTCAACAGAACAGGATCTTCAAATAAGATCGATTAAAGGATAAACTACAGATTATGGAATAATATGTATAACGATAATTTGTCGATTATCTTGAATTCAAATATAATCGCACTTCATCTAACTTCCTTTAATGCAGCTACGAAAAGATTTCAATTACAAGAACTACTTTCCTTACTGCTTTGATTTCGTCGTCCCGAAGCTGTAGAAATCAGTATCAGAAGATTTCTTCAGCGATTCGTGCGGCAGAAACAAACCTGAGAGGGAAAAATGGAGAGAGCCCAAATTCAAGAGGGAGCTAACAAATCGATAGAAATTAGTAAGAAATGATTTCTTCAGCATTTTGCATTTTGATTCTCCCAACATGGGAAATGGCGAATGGGGCCGCCGGCGTCCTGCTCCATTACCATTATTATTATTATTATTATTATTTTAAAATTTTGTTTTTATTTTTTAATTTAAAGAATTTGGAATTGAATTTGCCGGGAAAAAAGAAGATTGGATAAAAATTCTTTAATTTTTCAATAATAACTTTTTTAAAAAATAAAAAATACTTTTATACTTATTTTTTTAATATAAATTATTATTATTTTGTTTAAATTAAAAATGGATTTAAAAATAC